TGGTGCTAGAAGTCAGGTTGCTGGGTCAGAGTGTGGGAAATTAGAATTTGGTGGCTGTTGCCAAGATGCTGTCTTCTGAGGTTGTGCAGCTCATCCCTCCTGCCAACCACGGCGTTAGGGTACCTGTTTCTCCACATCGGTCTCATGGACACAGTATTGTCAGTCCTTTGTTTTATGTTTTGCCAATCTGATATGTGAAAAATAGTTCCTAAGACTATCTTAATGTTTTTAAGGAGAGAACAATGCAAAACAATTTCCTTTTTGTTCCTAGTATGTTTATTTCCATGGAATTTGTTAATTAAGATGTTGACTTATAAGTCACACAAACTAAATGTCAGTAAGTCTCTGAAACTCTAAAAATTGGAATTAGCAACTTATTTTCATATTCTGACTTCTGAGACTGAACATGTTCCAACAAGCAGTGTGTGATTGGTGGTTGAGCAAGGTAGAACTGGCCCGTGCGTTCACAGAATGTGTAATACAGAAGCACAGAAATGATAAAACAATCGGGCTTTGACAGGAAAGTTACGGACAGCAGGGGAGCGTGTGCAGGTTTCCGGAGTGAGGAGACCAGGGAGTGTTGAAGTTTCCCATTTGACCTTCATACCAACCCTGTGAAGTGATTCGGGTTAGTAATATTATCCCTGTATCACCATGAGGAAATAGTCCCAAACAAGTTGAATCTTATCCAGGATTGCAGAACCAGCCCTTAGCAGAGCCAGAACTAGAATCCAAGATCTTTGGGCTTTCTTCCTCAGCATGCTGCCTTCATGTTCCCTGCAGTTCCTGGTTAGTGATAACTGAGACTTTTTGAGAATGGCATTGTTATAAAAGTGCTGCTCTGTTGAAACCTGAGAGGCTTAAAACACAATATTGTGAGAGCCTCTTGGTCTCAGTGGTCAGGTGTATTTTTTCTATCCTGCTCTTTTTAGATTGTTAAAACAAAGTGTGCCATGCTTAGAAGACGTTTACTGACATTTTATTTTGTTATCAGGGCATTTCCTTACGATAACACAGTGTCATTCCAGGAGGAGTGAGAAATCAGACCCAAGGTCAGCATTGCTGCCTTCTCTGGTCTGAAGCACCGTAGTAGTAGGAGGCCTTTAAATATGAATACCAAAATGCTTCCTTGTACAGACAAAAGGAACACATTGCCCTTTAAAGAATGTTTTTGGTCATGCATAGGACAGCTGGGATCATATCCCCTCCTCCAAATGCTAACATATTTGTCTCTTGCCTGAAGGTTGAGGTTTTTGAAAAGCTAGTATAACAATATCATGAAGCCAGGCTCAGTCACTTCAGAGCATTGTGTGACCTTGGACATGTAACTGAATTTCTCTAGAATTCAGTCTCATTTTAAAAACTGGGGGTAGGTAATACCTACCACAAAGATTGATGTGAGAGTTAAATAGAGTGTTATACAGAATTCCTTCAGAGATTTTTATTCCATTGTTAAGTTTCTGTAGTGAGGGATATATCTACAGTCAGTGGGTGTGTTTACTGCGGTAGCTCCCCTGCCCCACCCCGCTAAGCTAATAACGGTGCATCTTCCAATAGTTGGTATCAAATGGAGGAAATAATAGTAAAATATGTCTTCAATAAGTAGCTGCCATCATTGTTTTTAATTGACTAGAATTATGGTTCCTGTGTTAAGGTCATACCCCAGTGGGGAAGTGAGGTCTCTGCTGGGACATCTGTGTATGCACAGGACACCAGATCTGTGAGGTAGCCACAAGGAGGCAGGAGGGAGCTCTGTCTCCTCCAGGAACCTAGATATTGCACCATTGAAGGAGACTAGACAGGGAAGGACCTGCATACTAGAGCTTCCGGACTCGTGCAACTAGCATAGATTTTGTTGTTGTTGTTGCTTTTTTATCATCTTTTATTCTTTGAGGAAATCTTCCCTGAAGATCTTCAGCTGTGCTTGACAGGCTGATTGTTTAGTCTCTGGCCACAGTGTTGAAGGGAGGGCCTGAGCAGGAGTGGCAGTTCTCAGCTGAAGAACCTGTGTGGAAAATGGATTTTAAGGAAGAGATTAGGCCATAATGGTTTGTTGAACTACTCCTCCCTTTTTGGAAAGTCTCCTTCCAGTAGCAGACTTGGAGGTGCCAAGTTGTACTTTATTAAACAAGGCAACCTGTCCTTCCAGATCTTTCTCTGCAAACACACCTGAAATACCTATACTCCAGTTTCAGAGACTGTATTTGGGTTGGA